GGGAGTGCGCGGGGGGAGGCGCCGGCCCCGCAGGCCGTGCGGGAGTGGGCACGGGGCTCCAGACATCCGCCACCACCGCGAGAAAACGATAGTCCCTCTCTGATCCACTCCTGGCACGTTTTGTCCCCAAAAGCCAGGTTGGGAGTTTGGTAAGTGCCACTGCAATTATTCAGGTAAATGTTTAAAGTTTGCCCACCAAATGCCTTCAAGCCAGAGATCTTCAGCGAGATGAAAGGATATTCAAGTACAAGGGACTATTGTCTCAGGTAACCATATCTTTCAAAGATAAGGCATCCAACAAACATTCCCTTCACCAAGGAGATTAAAAGGGAATGAAAATACATTGCAAAACCAGATCTTGAGAACATGTTAATTGCTGTTGGATGAGCTGGAGACGGTGCCAATGCACCTGGCTGCATTAACCCAATGGGAAAGTGTTGGCACATGGCTGCATTAACCCAATGGGAAAGTGCCTCCTGTCCCCTCCTGACACTGTCTTGCCTTTCGGACAGCCCTGGGGCAGAGACGGGGCCCAGCTGTGCACTGCTGGGGGAGAGCTCATTCCCAGCACCCTGCACCACTATGGTCCCACAGTGCCCTGGTCTGTGTAGTTGTGCTCAATGGGCAGGTTATACATTCCTCCTCCATCGGTCCATGAACATCACAGTAATGTCTTCAGGGCCCTTCCCACTAGCTCTTAGTAACCCATACTAGGAGTCATTATTTTTTAGTTTATGTGGTGCCCATTAGATCTCATTCCAAGAAGTTTTGTTTGCAAACCAATTTCTTCCTGGTTATATATATGTTTGTCTAAATGGGAAGGAATACATTTTTCATGAAGTTTATTTAGGAAAAGTGCAAACTAGTGGGTATAAGTGTGTGTACTGGGGTGTAACCACTTGTACAATAACAAGTACAGATCTCTTTGGGACCTCTGGAACCAGTGTGATCTATTCGATATCTGTTGTTGGGAGGCACTGATTTGGAAAAGAGAACAGGCCTTGCAACTGCAATTAAGAAAACAGTTCTTGCATCAGTCCTTAGGTTAAATTGCATACATTGTACCTTGTTTGTGTGGTTAACCCTTAAAAAAATGAGGCTTTCAACAGCAATGAGAAAGCAGAAAGGCTTTTGCTCTAGCTGTTTTTTTCCTGCTGCATCTCATTAAATTAATTACATGAATATGTGGCAACTTATCTCCCCACGGGCTTAGAGATATGTCTGCAGTACCCAGTGACTGGTGCCTGCCGACTGCCACCTGGGAAAAAGAGAAAAATAAACAGAACATGAAGCAAGTACAAAGGATAATGGAACCAATATGTCATCATTGGAATAACACACTGAAAATTGTACTTGTCTAAAGTCCAAGATCTGTTCTTACTCCAAAATGAATGCAAAGAAAAAACCTCTCCAGTAAGTCAAAACCAGAAAAGAGATTACAATTAATATCTTTCAAGCCATCAGCACTAGAAATGAGTATTTCATTATGAATGGGACCTGATTCCAACACAGATGCCTCTTTTCCAAATCATGATCACATGATTCATCTTTTCATCTTTGAGAGGTCACATTCTTCCACTACAATAGTTGCAAGAGCTGCCTGTGCAAAAAGTGCTATTAGGCAAATGTACAGGGGATTTTCAAAGTCATAAAGTACAGTGTAGAGTCCTATTGCCCTTAAAGTCAATAAGTTTGGGGCATTTTCTCTCTCTTCTGCCTTTGAAAACCTCCCTCTTCAGTATTTGCTTTTTTTCCCAGTGCCTGCAAAAAAAAAAATCCAGGGCAACATGGCCAGTAAGTTAGCCACAGACCACGAGCAACAGTTCCTCTGATTGATTGTAACCACAGGCCACTGACTGGGAACCGCTGCCTTATCACTGATGTCATGGAAAAAATGGAATAGAATTTAGAGCAAGTCAGAACAGAAGCAGTTTATTTACTATACCTGTAGGAGAGAACATAGAGCAGCAGGGAAACCAACTTTGCTGATATGAACTCTGTCCCTGTAAAGTGGATGCAAGGTTTATGTACACTCAAGAGATGCTATGCAAAAGACAGATAACAAGATGTGAGGTACACAGATCTGTTACATACACAAAGCCACAGAACTGCTTAAGGTAGGTCTGGAGTCTCTTTTCTTTAATGCATGGACTAATTTATCATGAAGTTTATGCAGTAATTATTGTTTCAGGAGATAGGGTGAGCATTTGACCAAGAGGCCAACTCTAGTCTTAGCGTTTCTACTTCCATGACAGAAAACTAAAAGCTGCATGGGAGTATTGGATTTTCTGAACAGCTGATCATTTGCAACAGAGGCAGTTTTAGCTTTCTCTTGATGGACAAACTGTCTTCCCCCAGCCTGAGCCTTATTGTTGACCAGAAAGGACAGAATTTGATTCTGGAGCGCTTCTCAATAAATCATAATTCTCTAAATGGTGTGAGACTGCCCTTGTTTTCACACATTCTTTACTATAGTTTGTGTCTGTCTATTTATGCTTTTCTGTTGAAAAATCATTTGGGATTGATTAGTGGAAGTCAGGTGTGGTATCCCTCCTTCCCACAGCAAGTGACCGAAAACTCAGATGAAGAGTCATGTTCCTTCTGCTCTCTCTCCAGCCAGGTGAATCATGAGTTACGTATTCTCTGCACCGCAGAAACAACCTTGGGAGGCTGGGCTGAGCACATCCTTGCGAGCCCTCCAGATGCATTCCCAAAACACCTACAGGTGGATGGTTAGGGCTCTCTCTGAACAATGGGAGATGAGTGTTTGAATCCTCTGAGATTATATAATATCCAGTTGGGTTTCCCATGTGCTAGGTGAGTTCTCCAACAGCCTTGTTAAAGGGCAGTGTCTTCCCTCCTTTTGGCTTTAAAAAAAAAAAAAAAAAAATCAGCAGGGCATTTTATGCCTGACCTTACTGAGTAGCTGTGCCTTGTGAGAGTGCCAACTAACCTTTTGAGGAAAGACAGGGAGAAGGAACACCAGTTTCTTGTTCCTGGTGAAGCTTAGACAAGAAATAAGACTTTTATAGCTCTCAATAGATCCTTTCCTATGTAGATCACCAAAAGCTGTAAGTCATTACTCTGTAGTAGCTGTTTTCTAGACTCCCATCTGTGGTTCTCAGCAGGA